AATTAATTGAATTTAAAAAAATGAAAGAATTGATTGTCTTTTTTTTGCCTTCTGTCATTTTATATTTTTTAACTTAAAAATTGTCATTAAATAAATATTTTTGGGTAAACTGTTCAAGTGATTATTGAATGAGGACAAACTTATAATTGCTGATATAAGTTGTTGTTGTTGTCGTTGTTAACAACAACCAAATATAAAGGCAATAAAAAAATATTATACAAAAATTTTTCACATATATTTCCTCTTCTAATAAATGCATATGAATAAACAATAAAAACAAAAAATTAGATGTGGAAAAAGTAAAGAAGAAGGACGACGACGACCACGACTACGACTACGACTACGAAGAAGAAGAAGAAGAAAAGGAAGAAGCAAGGAAAATTTACGTGAAATAAAAGTGTTGCTGAGAAAATATGATGATCAACGATAATGGAATTTTTTATAATGGTTTATTAGAATATTTCCAGGTAAACAACTGCTGACCACTGACCAACACAAAACTGCCCGATGACCGCTGACCGTTTGACGCCCACCACTTTTTCTCCCAGTTGCTTGAGACTGCTGTTTCTATGCAGGCAGTATCCGTTTTTATTCCTTCCTCTCCTCCTCCTCTCCTTCTCTCTACAACTAACTACTCATCGTCATCAACCATTGCCTCTCCAATTCTATTGTTCGTCAAACCAATTCTGCTGATGCATATATACCCAAATCAACCACAAATGTACAATACATTACATGTACCATTATACATTAGACGTATATATCAGAATAACAAATTTTCATCATCTTTTTACCACATACAAATTTGTAACTTATAACCCAGTTTTTTGTTCCACTACTCTAAGGCATCTAATTGTAGTTGGTCAGATCAAAGAAATCCCAGTGAAGCAAATTTTTTTTTACACTCCCTTCCACCGATTAAAACATTCATCAAAACTTATAAACAATCGTTGATCAAAAAGCTGTTGATATTTGCAGTGGAAAAAATTTATTGCTTTTTTATTCGGCAATTGTTAGAGAACTGAGAAACGATGTCATCGATGAAAAGATTTGCCCAAGAAACTGTCCACAAATACTGTGTAAAAAGTGACTTTTGACGCTTCTCCTTCTCATCATCGTCATCATCATCATCATCATCATTATCTTCTTCTTCTTCTTCATCTTCCTCATCACCATCTCCTTCTTTCTTCGTCGTTTTCTTCATCTTATCAACTATTTGTTGAGCAGTTTATGCAATTATATAACAACAATAACAACAAAAACAGTAACAGTAACAGTAACAATAAAATTACTTTTTTAAAGCAACAATTTTATACACCTTCTTTTATTTTGTCGCTTTTTACAAATAGCCATTAAGATAAAAATGGTATTAACAGCTGTTAACAGTGAAAGATTAAAATAAAATAGGATACGAAAAAGAATAAACAAAAAAAAAAAAA